CTTAGGTTTGTCTACCTTATCCTATTCATTGGACAATTATCTCTTATACAAACATTAAGAGAACTCTAAAATTATGTAAATCACATAATTTTCTTTTGATGTAATGATGAATCATTCCACCCCAAAATGTTAAATGTCTATATCATTGGATCTTAGGATTTCATAAGCAGCAGACTTGACTCAAAGCAAGCAGTGTCTGCTTCATGAGTTCTTCCCACAATAAAACAAGGAATCATTTGTAGTGTGATGTACCACACAACATCACAGCCAACACACACACACTTAGGGCACAACCCTTAGGCATGCTAGGATTAGGATTTTTCTTTTTTGTGCATGTGGTTGATATTTTGGTGTGATGATTATGATTTAGGCTCTTTTATGTTGGTGACCATGTCTGAGATGGGGTAAAAATAAATCATGATTATTCAATATTGTTTGCTTGCAGGTGCTGCTCAAAAACCCCCCATGATGCATGGCTAATAGGTTGGAGATAGTGCTTCGCACTCTAAGTGCCAGATATTTCTGGGATGTTTTTTTTTTTTGCTTTGCATATGAATTGCTTTCTAATCCCTTCATATTTTGTAGGTTTGAGTCTTTTTATTTTTCAAAAAGTATTTAATAGACTTAAGAAGTATTATTTTGACCACAGTTATATAAGAGATGGATTAGAAGGATGAACCTATCTTAGGTGAAGCCCTAGATCCATTTAAGAGCTAAAGCTTGAAGACCTCATAGGTCGAGTCTGTTGTTATTCTGGGTTTGTATAAGGCACACAACTCTAGGATCCGTGGTTGTTGTTGACTTGAGTCACCTCATAAGCTCTCACCTTTCGGACATTTTTTCTAACATGTGTTGCTGGAATATGAGCCAAACTTTCTAAATTAAATTGGTCAACACAAATAAAATTATAATTTTAGAATGTAAAGCCAACTGTAGGATAGTTTGAATATCTTTGAGTTTCCTCAGAATCAAGTACTCATACATTTTCTTTCATTTGGCTTTCATTTCTTAAAATATGATTTAAAGTTGTTCTCAAGGTGGAACAAATAAACTGCTGTTGAAGCACTTGACTAATACCAGTGGATTGAAAAATGGACAGACACTAGGTTGAACAATCCCTGTCTTGAGCATCTCCTTGATTAATCTCCCAATCTCTTCATTCTGGATTTGGGGCTAACAATACAGACGAACATTGATAGGTGGGACTCCTTTCCTTCCAGATGATAGTATACTTGCGTTCATGCGAAGGATTCAACTCTTGAACATGTGGAACACCCCTCAATACTATTTTAGGGGTGGTAGAATCATGTCTGGTGCTTCTATCTTCTCCCTATCTTTTTCTCTTTCCAAATTATGCAACTCCACTAAAAGTCCCACTTGGAAGTGGCTCCAAAAGTGGCATCCCCTCTTCTTCCCCCAACATTTCCACCTCCTGGTCTTTCCCTCTCCTTGTCAGATTAGGGTTTCCTCCACTCCCTTGGTTACTAGTGGTTCCCCTTACCTTTGGCGACGCTGCGTTGGTTTGGAACTCGAGCCGCTTTCTTATCATCTCTTCCATGATGTCAAACTTCTCATCAATCTTCTTATGGATTATTGAAAAAAGCTTTTTGAAATCAGAAATCTTTTCTACACAATATGATTTCAATTTCCCAATCTCCCATTCCAATACTTCTACTTTTCTTCCAGCCATGGGTGCTAGGATCGAACAGCTCTGATACCAATTTGTTAGGAAATACTTGGAATTCCCAAGTAAAACTGTAAAACTTAACTATCTTGATGAAATCAGTGAGAATGATCCACAAATTCAAAGGAAAAATCAGAAAAACAGTAATTTTATTGCAATAATCAAACTAATGGAAGAAAAATAACAAGATACAATTGATCCTCTATTCGAGAGGAGGATCTATCTCTCCCAAATCTCTAGATGCCTCTAGAGCCCAAAAACCTAAACTTAAGAGGTCTCAAATTTCAGCCAAATTCAAGATGTTGTAACCCTAGGAAACAAACTATTTAATGCATACAATCCAAAAGGAAATATCTAAACAGTCCCTACATTCAAATTTTACTCCTAACTCCCTCAAAAATCCTTCCTAAATAGCTCCATTGGACCCGGATGTGCATTCGGCACGTATAAGAGAGGCGGAACTTCCGTCTCTGTTCTGCCTGGGCCATTCCCATGTGGACCGGTTGGACCGGTCTAACATTAATCTATTAACAGTACATCATCCATAAGCATAATAGCTAAAATCTCCTACCTCTTTCACTGCATCATCTGTAAATATAATAACAATAGCCGGGCTAACTTTTAATGCCTCTTGCATTACATCATGTTTAATCTCCGAAGGAATGACATTATCAATGTCAAGGACCTCCATGCTAGCCTACTCCTTCCTCATAGGACCCACTCACCCCCCTCCCCCCCCAACATGAATGGGTGAGTTAATAGCAAGAAACTCCTTACCTTTATTTATCTTCACTTCTCTCTGTACAAAACTTGCTATAAACTTTCTTAGAGCATCCAACTTCTGCTCCAACCTCAGCTGATTATGCTTTAATCTCAGCTGGTTGCTCTTCAACTTTCTAACAACTAAAAAAAGATGCTTGATATGTGATCTGAGGATGGCATGGATTGACTAGCAGTTGGTTGTTCTTCAGCTCCTGCTTTTTTCTCTGTATGACCACCACACTTGCCTACAAAATCTATGGAGGTCACCTTCTTCTTAACAATAACTAGTAGAGATTGAGAAGCATGTGAACTTATAGATGTCTTCTTCATCAGCTCTAGTCACTGCTTTAGAATTAACAATCACCTACAAAAAATAATTCAAAGCAGATCGAATGCTAATTTATAGTAATAATCAACATAAACTAAATTTAAAATGCAATACTTTGAATATAAATTACATTTTTATTTTTTAATAAAAATTGAAAATCTTTGATCGTGAGCACTTTGTTGTTCTTTCAGCTGAACATCCTTGGCATTCTATATACAAGGCATTCTACACACTTTCTACCCAGTTATAAGACAACTTCATAAGCCTATTACTATAAAACTATGACATATCTAATGATTGTGTACTGGACTGGGGCATTGTTCTTGAAGTCGATGGCCTTATAGTATCATATTCTTATTTAGGATTTTTAAAGTCCTCTCCCATGATAACCCACCCGATAGGCATCTAAAGAATGCTTTATCTTTAACTAAGGTAAGCTTCTCAACAAATAACAACATTTTGCTTATCATGGGTGAGCAAACCACCATTTACACATATCATCCCTCCTAGGCATGCTATGAATGCTTTCTCCAAGTCTACATTTTTAAAGTTCTTGTCTCCAAGTAGTTTTCAATAAGCCTAATACTTTTGCTCATCTCCTTGAATTCCTTCGCAGATGAAAGTTGTCCAAATTCCAATCTAATGATAAGTGCAAATTCAACAACTCAAAATTTTATATTTTCATGTCTAATGTTGAACACAAGGGAGTATCCTCAATCTTCTCATTCATGACATCCTCAACATTGGATGATAAATTAGCCTCTAGGGAACTACCGCTCAGGAGATTTAAAAAGCTGCTTAAAGTGGAATTCCTCAGCGCTTTCTACACACTCAAATGCCTTAAAACTCTATCAATTTTATCCAAGTGTAATACCTCTTTATATATATAATTAGAGTGGTCATCTGCATACATAGTAAAACATCTCAAATGAATCAATTTCATATAAGATACTGAGCACAATATAAAAGGGCCTGAACATGCATGATCAAACTAAGTTTGAGCCATGTTCGAGCAATAAGACTAATTTGAAGCTTATTCGAACCTTTTTGGAACCTTGCTCGAAACCTTAACTGTTACTATTGAGAAATTATTGAAGTATAGATATGCTTGCTTTTGGCAGAGATGTTTTTTTCGAAATTTAAACATGTAATTTAATCCCTGAACTCCAAACCTTAACTCTAATTCAGTCTTCTCCTTGCTGAAGCCAGACAAGCAGTCTTTTATTTGAATCTGTGTTTCATAATATTTGTGAGTAATGGTATAGCATGAATTATGTTGTTGGCGTATTGGCAATGGATTCATATCTTTACGTTGACCTTTCTGATATTTATGCATCCATTTTTTTTTCCTGAAACTGAAGTATCAATATTGTTTTTTCATATTTCCAAATACTTCCAATGGATCTCAGCATAATTTTCTGGCCAGTACTTCCACATCATATGCTAATTAAAGCTCACTTGAATTAGTCTTGACATGCTTAGTTTAGATGCCTTGGAGCCCTTAGCCGTTGTGATCCATCACCTGCCTTAGTCCTCCCTCAGTTAATTAGCTAGATAGTTTTTACCTGTTGCGTTGTTTTTTATTCAAAACTTATTTGTTTTCTTTCATTTTCAAGAACTTATCAGGGATTAATTTTTGTCTCCTTGTTGTGAGTGCTGATACTATGAAGTCTTATTACCATAGAAAAGTTAAATTTAAGAGATGGCGGTGCTTTTTAACCAAATCTGTTTTAATCATGTCTTACAAATTTGATCAGAGCTTGAAAATTGAGGAGGAAATTATTCTTTAACTTTGTATTGCCTTCCCATTAATATTGAATTTTGTGCAGCCCTTGTATTACCGTTGAACTTTGTGTGACCTTTTTTCTTGAAAGTGATGCCATTCTTTGATATTTAATATATTGTAACTGTGCCATACTCTTTGCGTCATGCAATCTTCTATACTTTTATTGCTAGAGCGTATGCTGATTGATGTCATAACTTGTACTGTTTGCTATCACTTGTTAATTGTTTCCTGTGTTTAGTTTAGCTATAGTAAGATCCTGGCACAGTTTTAAATTTAATGTTTGTGGATAAAATTATTGTACTTATGTTTAAGATTTAATAGTTTGACAGTCTTGTATTCTCGGGTCTAATGAATAACTATGTTGTTTCTTAAATTTTCTGGTGGACTACTGTTGCTTTTGCAAGTCATAGGATTCTGACTCTTCATTCTATTGACAGAAGAAACTAAAGATATTTCAAAGGCAGCTTTGCCTAATTCCTCACAGAGCTCTACGTCTGCATCAGATGTAAATGTTGAGACAACTATTAATGGCCAGTCCACGCATGATGTAGGCTATCACTCTCAAGACCTCGATAAAAGCAAACCAAAATTTAGGTATTTAAATTTTATTTAGTATTTGGGGACTCAACTCCTTTTTTTAATTAAATCGGTATTTGATTCCATTTCCTGCTATCTATTAGGTAATTCTTTGCATGTTTTACTTTCTATTAGAGTATTCGAAGGATATTTTTGGTGCCATTATGTTATCCTAACATTTGCTATTACCGCCTTGTCTTTTCAAATATTCATTGCAATGAAAGAACTAGTATTTTCTTATTTCAGTTGGATTACATTAAGGACCAGCTTTAAGTTCATATCCTTTTGTTTTGGTCATGATATTCTTATTTAGACCTTTGCTGGAGGATGTACCTTGGCGCATGATATTCTTCTTGTTGATAAGACTAGCTAGCGAGGGAGATGATGAAAAATTTGAATTATGAAGCTCAACCTTAGAGTGTAAAAGTTTTGATTTGAGTAAATTTAAAATCGAATGCATGGAGTATAATTTTAGTAGTAATAGCTCTAGTGGTAAGATTGTGATATTGGGTAATCAAATCATTAAAAGAGTGCACGTTTTAGATTTTTTAGATCTATTTTTGTTATTGTTGTTGTTGTTGTTGATGATGGTGATTATATATCAGAGTAGATATAGCTGCATGGAGGGATGCAAGATTTGCCACTGAAACCTACACATGCAATGTTATTCTTTTGAGATTGTAATATTTTTCATGTCTTTTTTTGTCTTTACCTTTTAGGGCTTCTTTAGTAGAAGTGGTGTAACCAAATGATTAGAAAGACTTATATTTTCATAGCCCTGCCTTTCTTAGGAGCTGATATTGCAAGATTTTTGTTTTCTTGCTAAAGTTTTAATGTAATTGGTTCAGTAGCTGACCCCAAAAAATTGGGATAAGGCTAATGATGATAATTATCTGTTTTTGCTTCAGTTTCATTTCTAACTGTTAATCTTTTTGAAGTGCAGGCAAGATTTCTATAATACCTCGATGGAATTAGTTGTGACTATTTTTGCAAAGGGCATCCCACCAAAAAATGTGCATATTGAATTTGGTGAACAAATTGTATGTCTATTTACGGGGTCTTGTATATATTTTTGGTTCTACTTGTATTTTCTGGTTTTCTGAACTTGATTTCCATGATTCATAAGATCTGCCTTCTAGTTTGATACTGGGATATTTTCTATGTTTTCAGTTGAGCGTTTCAATAGATATTCCTGGTGCAGACTCGTTTCATTTTCAGCCTCGCCTATTTGGGAAGGTATGAGGATGGCATTAGCTATTTATGCCAACTTGTTTTTTCCTTTTTTCTTGCTTCGTATATTGCATGTTTCCATGCTGATGGTTTTTGTCATTCACAAAACATTTCATTACCATATTTTGTTATTGTTGGTGTATTTCCAACATCTTGTTGATTTCAATGCTGCAATGAATATTTGCTTATCTAAATTATTCGTTGCTTTAATTATTTTAGTCTATAGACTTATTTCTTTTGTAGTTTCTTATGACACTAGCATGATGTAAGGGTTTCATTTCTGCATTAGCTTTGGTATATTCTCACCTGTTGTCCTTTAAATATATTGCATAGATTTATAATCAGGAATTTTTTATTCCTTGTTTACTTGTTCATTTTCCAAAAGTTGTTCTGAATATCTTCTTTCTTGAAGCACCCATAGATAATTATGACGAACAATCCTACAACGAGATCAAACTTTTGCTGAGATATTATTTTCATTCATAGTGTTTTATCTTCTTGTTGTGGCTATGCTCTCACTATTTTAATGGTTGCTTTATCAGATTATTCCTGAAAAATGCAAATATTTTGTTTTGCCTACCAAAATTGAGATCCGTCTTGTAAAAGCTGAAGCTGCCTCATGGCCATCCTTAGAGTATAATAAGGATAAAGCACTTCCTCTAAAGATTATCGTCCAATCAGGTACTTTGAATTTGTACATTATGCATTATGTTATTATTGACATTAATATTTGTTGCTATATTTTACATATTTTAGAGAATTTTGTGTGCTCAAAATGTTCTAGCTTCGCTATTATATCTATTTTTTAATTTAAATACGCGGGTTATTTACTTTTCGCTATTATATCTATTTTTTAATTTAAATACGCGGGTTGTTTACTTTATCCTGTTGATTACATTAATTTTTTTATCCATGCTATGATTTTTGGATATTCGATTTTTTACTCTTTTCTATACATATGTAGTCATGTTATATTAAAATATTCTTATTTATAAGCATCTAAAAATGAATTAGCTAATTAATGCGATGTTTTCATTTTTTCCAGAGTAACGTTTTAAAAGGCGAAATCGGGAATCGAGGCGTTTTGGCTAAGCGAGGCGAGGCGTAAGCCTAAAAAATTATAAAAATAAAGCAATTTAAAATTATGAATAATGACAAAAATGTCAAAAAATAATAAAATATTACGTCAATTGTGAATTTGATGATTTGTTCTAAGATAATATTAGTATATTACTGGAAAAGAAGATTTAAAAT